ATCACTTATATTTGAAGAAAGACCACAAAACAAACCCAAATCCAGAAAACATGCAAGTAAAAAAGCCAAACAAACTTGAGGTAAACAAGAGAAAACAATCAGCTCTATAGACATCTAAATTTAGGCAGTCTAGATATTATTTCAGAGGCCAGCAGGATTCTTCTTTCCAAGTATTCTCTGGAAAACTATTCCCTATAAAAGAAGAGCTTAAAAGGTAGGTGGAGGTTTAGCAGCTAGTTTAGGCAGCCTGATGTCACACCCTGATGTTTATTTTGTGGGGTTTTACTTGTAATGGCGGAAGTGCTCTAAGAAAGTCTAACACAAAGATTTATCAGCACTTGGAACACAGCTGCCTACTTACAATTAGGTTGGAACTTGGCAGTCTTCTTTTACAAAGTGGCCGAATATATGAACACACCATGTGTGTGAGGACTGAACAGGACATTTTTTCCTCTTCAAGTCAAGGACTTAAAACAGGAAATCTTCCTAGCCAAGTCTGTATTATACAAGACCCCTTATCAAACACCAAAAAGGCTGAATGGAATCCTTCAACTGCAGGGTTTCTTATAATGGAGACAGAATAATATTCAAAAATTTTCAGACAATAAGATATTTTCCTTGTAAAAATACTTTAAACTTTGGGATTTTTTTTGTATTATTCTGAATCCTGACAAATAATTCTTTATCTGATTTAAGAAAGTTAAAAATCCTAGATACATAGTTATGTCTAGTTCTTATGTTGGGTAGCAATACCTTTGGAGTTAATGAAATCTTTCAATTACCTACAGGTTACTTGATAGAATTCTTCACTGCTATGTGGCTAGAAATTTGATAATTCTCAGCACAGTCTTAGATCTCTAACAGTAAATACTACATGTTATATGTGATAAAAGCATTTTCTTCTAGTAAATTAGTTTAGTGGTAATAAATTAGTTTAGTGGTAATAAAAATCCAAGAAAAGAAAACATCAATATCCCTACAAATAAGACAGATTTCGGAAAACTTCTTTGAGTGTTTCAGAAGCTCACAATTTAAATATGATAGACATACCAGAAAGAAGGAGATCCTTATGCAGCAGATTAATTTAAGTCTGGAAATGAATTCTACTTTCTTGGTCCTGATCCTGGATTGTTCAAACCTTCCCCTGTCTGTTTGGAAACAACAGAGCAATGGCTGAGCTCAAGCTGTGTTTATGCTGACCTGCCAGGATGTTTGTGTTGTCTGGTTGCTGCTGCTCCACACACAAAAAAAGACCGAGTTCTGCTTTTCTTTCCCATGGTAGAAATTGGAATCTCCCTCTCTTTTCTTTGCTCAGACTCTTAATTTCTCAAATTTCTAAGCACATCTTATCTTTAATATTTCAACCCTTCTCTTTAACATTGATTCAATGCTCAAAAGTTACAACAGAATGATTGAGAAAAAAAAACCAAATCAACTCCCCCTGTCCCCCAAGCACTAGCATGCAGGTGACAGGCAAAATTATTTCTAATACATGGAGCATCTTGTAAGGAAATACGAGGATAACAGCCTTTTGGAGAAAGCCTAGTGCAGGAACAGGGCAGATTTTGCCTCTGCATGTACCCTCAAAAATTATGCTAAGAGACCAAAAACATGATACATAATGAAAAGAAAAAAGATGCCATTAACATACTTGCTACAGAAGCCTAAACATACTGAAGAAGATGCATGCAGTGAGAGGCAGAGGTGGATGACAGACTTACCTGTCAGGATAAATTTAAGAAGATTGTGAAGATGTGTGGGGATACAGCTAGAAAGTAGAAAACTCTAGATGTGTCTTTGTCAGGTGACGGTCAGTGATGGAAGAGACAGGGCAGATTGCTTGCATAAGGGTGCAATAAGTTGATTTTACTGATACAGAGCTGAGTATTTGTACTTTTTCAGCAATAACTAAAATTAGATCCTTATATAAGCAGTAATCAATATAACAACCATATCTATGTTTCTTAACAACACTGCAAAACTAAGAGCTAGCACTAACCACCACAAGTAAATACCAAATGTGCCATTCTCCTATGATAGTTACTTCATGGTAGGCTGCACTGCTCGCCATGGTTTGTGGCCTAGCAATGTTACTGAGCTCATTTCTGACATGAGTTGAGCAGTGCTCTCACTTCTGCATGAACGAACAATCCTAGATTTATTCCCCAAATAGATTTATTCCCCTGTCCAAGACTCTAGTGCAGAGGCAGTTAAGCAAATAGAGAACCACTGGGCTCTGGCAGATTAGCACTGGCCACTCTGATAGTTAATATATCAAAAGTGGGAGCAGCAACTGTGCAGCAATATATATTTAATGCAAATAAGGATTTAGTGCGTGTGACTGACACAGGCTGTCAGCTGGAACAAGCACAAAAATGCAGCTAAAATGCAAAGAGTAAATTGATTCCATTACCTCGGTAACTGGAAGATCCCAAGGCAGAGACACACAAGCAGGAGAGCAGGCGCTGTTGGGCTCAGTCCATCCGAGTGAAAGACAGGCCTGCTGTTTGCAGCAATTTATCAAGTTCACCAACACACTATGATCTCCTCTGTTTGGTTTTTTTTTTTTTTTTTTATGATCTCTGAGCTTTGACCCTCCCTCTCCCAAAACCAGGGAGCTTAAGCATGTCTGTGAGAGTGCCTCCAAGTATTTCAAAACACCCACATTATCGCTACATAGAAATGCTTCTCAAAACAGAGYATAAACAACAGTAGTCATAATATACACTGTTATTCTCCAGGCCTTGACATTCTCAGCTGCAAGGTCACTCGAGCAAATCTACAATCTTCCTCCTCATTCTCCTTGCCATTCTTCTGCATTTAACCCTTTCCTCCCAACAGTGAGTTAATGCAGTAGCAGAACAGTTTGTAGTCCATGCTGCACTGAACTGTGTTCGCATGCGATGATGGGAACAGTTTGACAGCTGAACATATGGATGTTGTTGTGAAACATTTGTGAGGTGGGTTGTTACGACATCAGTAATTCTTTTAAAAACTGCTTAAAAAATCAGCCCCCAATGGTCATGTTACTGTGGGAGTAGTGAAAATATACTTAGAAAAAAGTAACCAAAATATAGTGAGAAATATAACCATCTATAGGTTGCAATTGATGCATGCGTAGGAAGGTTTGACTTTTGAAATCTGGAGGGGTTTTACCCCAAGGTGAAAAATTTTTGTCTATTTTCCTAAGAAAATTATTTTTGTGTGAAAGGGTAAGGCCTTGCATTGTAGGTTTTATTTAAGTCTAGCAATATAGATGTTCATTTTGATTCTTAATTTCTGATGAAGTAAACTTATGTATGACATTTTGCAATGCTTTTAGTGTCATCAATTAACTGAAATGTAAAAAAAACCCAAACAGAGTAGATCTTCACCGAATTACAGGCAATTTGGGGATTTATATGCAGCAAGAAAGGGGAAAAAAAACCAACCTGGAAGTAAAACAAACAAAAGAAAAGAAACCCCAACAGATGTAGACATAGCTGCCAATGTGTCAAAAAATCAGCAGGATGTGGTTCAGTCGAAATAGTGAAGGACAGCAAACTGCATACCATGGTTTCCAAAGGTGTGGTGCCTCATGTGCCAAAACCTAAAACATGAGTAGAAACTAAACTAGGATGAAATGCATCTCTGGTTTCTGCTGTTCTCCTCAGCATTGTCACTCTTCCCTCACTCTGGTCCAGGCAGGGTCCAGCACTCCAAGCAAATGTGGAAACTGATGAAACTCCATGACCTGCCCTGCACTGTGCATTGCCAATCTTTGTAAGATCTCTTGGGTATCTACACACCCATCAAAGGCAAAAACTTCGCCTTTTGTAAATATTAGGAAGATTTGGGCCGATGCACTCCTTACTCCTAAGCAACTCATGCTGCAGCCTGGTGGTGAAGGGAAGAGGCTGTGTGAGAGGAGCAGGTAGTTGAAAAAAAGGTTGGATTTGGATTGAAGTTTTTAATATATATAAAAAAAGGATACGAACTTGCTTTTGGTTAAATATTAAATATTACAAAAATATAAATACAGAAAAATATATCAACGGAATATTTTCCCCTGGAAAACTAAAGAGGAGTCTTGGACAATGAAACTTGACTTTCTATCCTGCTAAAACGTTCAAATATTGCCGAGTTCTGAAGAACTCGCCAAAGCATTGATTTCCGTCACTCTGTTGGCACAAACCGTATGTCACTTCACCCCTTTACAACCGAATTTCTTGCAAGATCATTAAAAAAAATTTTAAAAATCGGGGAAAATTAGAAAATAAGTGGCATTTTGTGTCAGGGACATAAAACATAACCTCAGCTGCAGCAAAACAGCACAGCGTCAAAATTAGCCATCCTGCAGTTCTCTTGAAAAAGTGACAATATTATAAAACTGTATAAAGTGTAGAACGTGCCGGTGCCGGAAGCCGCCACGCCAGCTGCGGGCGCTGCCCGTGCCGGGACCGCCATGGAGGGTGTGGGCACTGCCAGCACCGCCCACCCGTGCCCTCAGCCGACATAGCGGGTGTGGGCACCGCCGGCACCATCCCTCCCGAGCCCGGACCGCCATGGAGGGTGTGGGCACTGCCAGCACCGCCCACCCGTGCCCTCAGCCGACATAGCGGGTGTGGGCACCGCCGGCACCATCCCTCCCGAGCCCGGACCGCCATGGAGGGTGTGGGCACTGCCAGCACCGCCCACCCGTGCCCTCAGCCGACATAGCGGGTGTGGGCACCGCCGGCACCATCCCTCCCGAGCCCGGACCGCCATGGAGGGTGYGGGCACCGCCGGCACCGCCCATCGTGCCGGGACCGCCATGGAGGGTGCGGACACCATCCCGCCCGTGCCCTCAGCCGACATAGCGGGTGTGGGTACAGCCAACATGGCCCCGCCCACCTGGCTGCAGCAGCCAATCACCGCGTGGCAGGCGCGGCCTCGTGCGGAAGTGGGCGTGGCCGGCGGAGCGCGGGAAGCCGGGGCGCGGGGCCGGGCGGGCGCGGGTCGCGGTTTTGCCGGGTCGCGTCGGGCCGGGGCGGCGGGAGCGGGGCTCGGGACGGGGCGAGAGGCAGCCCCRGGGCGGGGGAGATGCAGTTCTCCAGCCGAGAGAGGCTGAAACATGCGCGGCTGGCTGGAGACAGGCGGGAGCAGTACCCTCACAGCCTGCAGTTCTACCTGGAGCCCCCCACGGAAAGCATCTCCCTGGTGGAGTTTGAGAGCTTTGCTATCGACCGCCTGAGGCGTGAGTAGTGTCTCTCCGTCTCTCCTTCCCCCTTCCTCATCTCCCTTCTCCTTCCTCCTCTTTTCTCTCCTTTGATGCTTTGAATCCTTCCTGCCATGGCTGTGTATATTTCTAGCAGGCCTGGGTGCTCTCTTCGCCTGATATAAACTGGAGCTGGGCTGGCTGCTCGTGCTGCCGTGAGCTCTCGCTAAAGGAAAACGCGTTGCTTTGGGTCTTTCGGAGAGCTGAGACTGATTTCACAGTGATCGTTTGGTGTGGCTGTCGGGACTGTGTAGTTTACATCGGTGGTTTTTATGAGCAGATTTCACTTTCTGTGTAGGTGTTGTGACATATTTGATGTCTTAGTACTGGGATTCAGGTCGTTCTGGGTGGGAGCCAGGAGTTCACTGAAGTCCTGAAAACTGCTGAATCCATCTGTCCATTAGAGTGGAAGCCCATATTCATAGATTGATCCCTCAGAGTTAGCTGTCTCCCTTTCCTTGTTGACAGGAGGGATCCCAGAATTGGGGCAGCTGTTCAGAACTCACTTTATCCTCCGTATTTCTCACCCTTTTGCWCCTCATACCACTGGAAGCAATTCCCGTGGCCTTCCCCGAGTTCRTGCCTTTTCCAAGTTGTGATACGTGTCCATCTGTTTTCTGCATATTGTCTCTAACACGGACCTATTTTTTTTTTGCCCAGTGCTCAAAGTAGTTGAAAACCTCGGTGTGAGCTATGTAAAAAGTGGTGATACATACAAAACTAAGCTGGAGAATGAGCTCCGGAAACTAAAGTTTCCCTACAAAGTAAGTAAAGATCAAAACATGGAACTCTCTTTTTGTTTTCTTTTAATCGTTCAAAAATGATGACCAAAAGTACAGGTGATGAAATGCTATTTCTAAAACTGCAGTTCTGTCTTTTTTGTCAGAGATGAAGTTTTTCTTTGATGGTATGTATTTCTTTAAGGTAACCCCCTTCCTCAATAAGTTTGCATTTATTGTTTAGAAGAGGAGTATTGATACACTTAAACAGCAGTGGTAAATCGACTGTGAAATTTTATTCTGGGAGAGATTATTTCTCTGAAATAATTAAAATATGTTCTATAGGCTTTGGCTGAGGATGATTATGAGGCAAGAAGAAAAGATCATATCTCKCATTTCATACTACGCCTTGCTTACTGCCAGTCGTAAGTACTTTTTGAATTATGCTGTACTCTTGTTAATTTTAAATRTATACAGATACTGCACTGCTTTATTACAGACATTACAGATGCTTTAGAGTTGCATGGCCATTAAAGAGAGAGATAGGCTGAAGGAGAGGTATTTTTGCTAGGAATCTGATTTCAGCTGTGGTGAAAAGGGATAAGTGAAATCAAAATCAATACCTGGAATTTCTAATAACTAAAAAGATATACAAACCTTTGGCTTTTAAACACTTAGTGTTGATTTGAGTCTCTTGATATCTTTTTTTAAAAACAAAACCTCATCAGTAATTGAATGTTTGTCAGGTATTTGCAGTGATGGATAGTATAATTTAACTTCTGTATGTGGTAACTGTTGATAACTGATCAAAGATTTGACTACTTATATAGACTTTATATTATTGTATATAGAGTACTGTTTCTGACAGACTAAAAATATCATCTGAGTTCAAGATTTCCTCTACTGYCTCTGGTTTTTGTCCAAATTCATTGTTGTGGGTGGTTGCGGTACAATTTTTTTGTTACGTGAAATTTCTCACAAAAAGTTAGTCCTATAAAGTGTATTCTTTTTGCTTCCCCTGTAATTTTTTGGATGAAATTTGAGGTTGTCARTGCTTTATATCTGCGATTAGTTTTGTTACACATTTGTTTGAACTCTTTACTCTTTATCATTACAGTTTTTTTAGAATTAAAAGTGGCAAATATCAAGTATTTGTTGAATTGTTGGTTCAATTGCACTTAGGGCTGCAATGTAGTTAATTTTAATTAGGTGGCTGTGGTAGGATGCATATTGTGATACTGTGATAGCTGACATTACTGAAGTGCTGCTTCTGGATGGATACAGATTTGTWAGCAAAAACAGACAGTGAAGGTGAGTAGGAGGGATTGTGGTCTAAGCCAAGATATGAAACTGGAATAGATAGGACTTTTCTTTGAAATGGCTTTGGGTTCTTGCTGCAGAACAGGATCAGAGATCAGAGTAGGAATTAGCAGAGGCCTCAAAAGCCTTGCTCCAGAYGGTTGAAACCTCACCATGACAGGCCCTGGGTGACTTTTAAACACCCTGAACTGTTCCAGATCATTCACATCCCATCCTGTTGTCTTTTCAAAAGACATCTGAGCTGTGCTGAAGACAGTTTGTCAATGTGTGTGATCAATGAGTCTGCTAGATCTGTGATGCATGGACAATGAGGAACAGGTTGTGGATGTGGAGATCAATACCAGCCTTCACTGCAGTGACTCTGATAGTGTAGCTTGAAATCCTGCAGGAAGGGAGCAGATTGAATAACAGAATTGCAACTGAAATCCCTTCTGCCCTTCTGTATTCTATAATTTGTGTATAATTTGGGATTGTGAATTATAAATGTAATATTGCCTTCTCTTCAGTGCCCATGTTTGTTTTTTATAAATTCCCATAATCATACTAGTCCTGCTRATTTTCCCAGAAAAATACCTTGCTYTACCTGTATTGTAAATTTACCAATACACCCCTAAAAGGTAGTATCCTGAAGTAGTCTGGGGACTAAAATGCCCCTGAAAATGTACTGTTTTGTATTAGTAGCATTTTGAATAGTCAATTTAGCTTAATTCCAAAGCCAAAACTTTAAACATTTAGTTATTATTTAGATTACTTAGACCACTACTTATTTTGTGAGAGATGAGACGCTTTGAGGGTGTTGGTAATGACACATTTGATGAAAATTCTGCTCTTTGGTAGGTAGAATTGTCTGGTGTTGAGATATGGATTTCAAGAGATGTCTGTTTTTTGGTTGGTCTGTGACTTCAGGAAAGTGAGTTTGGGTCAAATTTACAGAAGGCAACATAAGCCACCCAACAAAAGTGTGAAGGTTAGGTGTTGGGCTCAGGAGTGAAATTCCTGAGGCTTTGTCCACTGAGCTGAGCACAGAGCAATGCATTTGTAAATGACAGTGGGTGGCAGMCTTGAGTGAAAAACTGCCTCGGTCWGGAATAACTAAGCAGGGACCTGGCTAAACATTTGCCTTTGTCAGTGATGGGATCTTTACCCTCCTGCCCTACTTGTCTATAATGGCTCCAGAGTCTCTGGAATTAATAACAGATGCAGATGCTTACTTTTCCCCAGCAAACTGTCTTTTTACAAGAAAGTACTTTTCTTTGAAAAGGTATATTTGTGCTCACTCATAAGATGGAAAATAGCATTCTAAGAACTATGAYGTGAACCTGTATCCAGTGTTTTTTATTCTCTCTTGAAAAGCAACTACTTTGGGGTTATTTCCGTTGTCTACAACTGACATGTTCCCCAAAAGATAAAATTGGGAGGCAAATAGTGTACTTCATGTTTTTATTACATTAGGTCAAAAAAATAAACTTGGCGCAAATCATTAATTGAAGATTAATGTAGGAGTGATTGAAAAAGTGCACTTAAATAGACATACCTCCAAAGTAAGTTGAATTCAGTTCCTGTGGCAGCTGTGTGTACACGTGTTTACATTTTCCTGTGATAGTGCTTATTTCAGTTTTCAGCTGGCCAACAGTGCCATCCAGGGGTACAAGTTTATATCGATTTTTCTTTTTTTGTCTATATCAGTCCTCACTTTTAAATTGGATTGTTTTGATTTGGTTTTTGTATGATCTGAAGTGACCAGCTCCACCTTTGCAGTCAGTTAAATCTGTAATATAGTCCTCATCTCTTCCTTTCTTCTGCCTTCTGAAATCCAAGACTCTAAAACTTATTCCTGTAAGATAGGGTATGTACAGTCTCAAGAAAACAGTCTCATCTATATCCTTCTTTCACACCTCTTGTAATGTCACTTAGATCTGTCAAGACCAGGAAATAGGATAATCTTGTTTCATTTGCTTTCATGGCAGATGCAGATCCAAAGATAATTTTATTTTCATGTGGACATGACTGTGTGCATTTTTGCTTCTGTCTGCTGCGTCTCTCTTCAGCAAATCAGCTGTGAAGAACCTTAAAAGTCGCAGGAGCATACATTCCATCACTTTCTGAAGATGGAAGAAATAAACTTTGCCTCTGCTCTGACAGCAAAACTCAATTCTCCAGGAAACTTTCAAACATACTTTTGTGCCTTTTTTTTGTTTGGTTGTTTTTTTTATTTGTTTGATTGATTTGTATTTGTGTCACATAACAAGGACATAAATCTTATTTCAAATTTAGCAAGGCCTTTTCACTACCCCCTGACATTTTTTTCTATATGATAAATTAGACTTGTGWCCTATAATTGCTGTCTCTTATGYTAGTAGCATTTCCTTTTGTCTGTTKTCTGTACCCATGTTCCCCTTGCTGTCTAGTGTAGAAAACTTAAACTCTGAGTAATCCCTAGGTGTTGATTGCCTAGTAAAGCAGTGATCTGGCCCATKCCCAGGGTTTTCAGAAGTCAGTGTTAAGTTGTTAGAACTCTTTTATTAGTTGTGGAATGTGAACTACTAGTTTTAAACTCCAGATTTACAAGCATTTGCATGCCTTTCCTGACATACTTCAATGCTCATGCTTCCTAACAAATATGCTGATTTTTCCTGCCCCTCCTTCGGATGAAGAATATTTCTATTCCAACCCCAGCCCCTCAAGTGCTGTTCCCTATTTAAGAGACTGTTCTTTTATATTATTTTTATAGTTGGGGATCTATGAACTGGTTTAAACCATTGAGTAATCTGCACACCAGAAAGTTAAATGGCGATAAATGAGGAGATATTCTTARCATCTATACTTGAATGACCTGCACTCCCTCAGCTTCAGCAGCAGCTTGGTTAGKTGTCCAATGACAGTGACATTGATTTTCATTTAAACTCGAGGTTTTGTTAATAAGTATTATTACTTAGTTTCAGGTGAGTGTGTACAACTTTTTCATGTGAATAATGAGTATAAAAGATGGTTGGATTTAGAAATTATGTAAATAATGGTCTAATGATGCCTAATGATCCCAGGAAAYTCAGTTTTAAAGTATATGCTGGACATACATAGTAAAGTCAGCTCATCAGCTACTTTGTCAGCTGTAGGATGAATCCAGGTAGATGTGKGTAGAAGAGATAAAGTAATATTTTCTTGTTACGTTAACTAAAACGGGTAGGTGGGATTATAGCCTTTGATTTGCTTTCCTGAAGAAAAGGAACAACAGTCTGGCAGGCCTCTGAAGCAATTATATTGAGTTGTGTTYGTGGTTTGTTTGSCATTTATGTSTGTGTGTTTTGTTTGTTTGGTTTCCCCCCTAGGAAAACAAATGCAGTATAAATCTAGGAAAACAAAAAATTGTCACATCCTAGGATTTTGCTACTGTCCRAGATGGCCACAGAAGAGCTGCAGCAGATCAGTCATTAATGCATTAATGACTTCCATTTTAAGTTGCACAGATTATTATTACATCCCAAGTACTGAAACTGTCCACAGTGTTATATTTTGCAAGGCAYCTTAACAGCCTTTCCATCTGGAATTACTTTCAATAATAATTACTTTTCTTCAAGCCATAKTTCAAGCAGAGGTTTTGTCCACAARACCACAARCTGTGTTGTGATTCACATGTTCCCTRTGGGAAAAGATGCTTAAATATTGTAAAGAGAACATACAAGACTGCAGTCTTTTCTGATTGAATGTGCATCACTAAAGGTTTCCGCCTTCGCTTCTGAGATTCTCAGTGTGTGGGTCCCATGCCAAAATCAGCATTACTGTTGTGTTCACTAGGTTTGAGGTCTAGTTTTCAAGCCAAGAAACAATGCATATTCAAAAWATATATAYATTYATTACYTTTTTGCAGTGAGGATCTCAGGCGTTGGTTTCTTCAACAAGAAATGGATCTCTTCCGATATCGCTTCAATCAATTATCTGAAGGTTTAATGCAGAAATTCCTGGAACATGTTAATTTATCATTTGAAGCTGTAAGTATGTTACTTTCTGTATTTATGTTGCAYGTGGTCATTGTTTTTTAAAAGTCTCATTAAGTAGTTTTGGCAATTGTGCTTAAAAAGTAGTGCAGCTATGGTTTCAAAAAAACCCAACCACACAGACCTTCTGAACTTGGAGAGTAAATGTGCATGAGGATTAAGTGATGTAATTTTGTGCTACAAGAGAAGCTCAGTCTGCTTCCGTCAACAAACACAACTTAAAAGATGTGTAATTTCACAGATAAGTCAACAAGGTTTACAAAARCTGAGAGGTATTTTTTAATCAAAATTTTGTGTGGATTAGATGAAAGATCATAGAATGGTTTGGGTTGGAAGGGACCTTAAAGATCATCAAATTCCAACTCCCTGCCATGGGCAGGGACACCTTCCAGTAGACTGGGTTGCTCAGAGTCCCATCCAAACTCACCTTGARCACTTCCAGTGATGGGAAAACCATGACTCCTCTGGGCAGCCTATGCTAGCATCTCACTGCCCTAACTGTAAAGAATCTTTTCCTAATCTAAACTTTCTCCTAACCTAAACCTACTGTCCTTCAGTCTGAAGCCATTCCCACTTGTCCTGTCACTACATGACCCTTGTGAAAAGTCCCTCTCCATCTTGTAAGCTCCATTCAAGTACTGGAGGCCACAATTAGGTCACCCCAAAGCCTTCTCTSTTCCAGGCTGAACAATCCCAATTCTCCCAGCCTTTGGTATTCCATCTCTCTGATCATCTTGGTGGCCCTCCTCTGGACTCATTCCAACAGATTGATGTCCTTCCTGTGCTGGGGACCCCAGAGCTGGAGGCAGCACTGCAGGTGGGGTCTCACCAGAGTAGAGTAGAGGGACAGAATCACAGAACTGTTAGGGTTGGAAGGGACCTCTGGGGAATCATCCAGTCCAATCAACCTGCCAAGGTAATGTCACCTAGAGCAGGTTACACTGGAACACGTCCAGGTGCATTTTGAATATCTCCAGAGATGAAGGCTTCACAGCCTCCCTGGGCAGCCTGTTCCAGGGCTCTGCAACCCTCAATGTAAAGAAGTTCTTCCTCATGCTGAGGTTAAACYTCTTGTGTTTTAGTTTGTGGCCATCAATTTCATCCCTTGCTCTGCCGGCTCCTCTGCTTTTGATGCAGCCCAGGATACAATTGGCTTTTTGGGCAGTGAGTGCACATTTTCAGATCATGTCCAACCTCTCCCCTACTATCACCCTGAGTCCTTCTCAGCAGGGCTGCTCTGATCTGTTCAACACCTGGACTGACACCAGAGACAGCCCTGACCCAGCTGTAGAGCCCTGCATTTGTTAAACTGCATGAGATTCCCATGGGCCCACTTTCCTCCTTATGCAGGTGTCTCTGGATGGCATTCCGTCCTTCAGCAATGTCAACAGCACCACTCAGCCTGGTGTCATCTGCAAACTTGTGGAGGGTGCCCTTGATCCCTTTGCCTGTGTCAGTAATGGAAATATTAAATAACAGTGGTCCCATGTGGACTCCTGAGGGACACCACTTGTCACTCAWGTCCATCAGGACTCTGAGCCATGGGCCACTGCCCTTTGGTTGTAGATGTCTAATCAATTCCTTATCCATCTAATGGCTCTCCCATTGCATCCATTTCTSTCCAGTTTGGAGAGAGTGATGTGTTAGGGCATCGTGTCAAAGGCTTTACAGAAGTGCAGATAAATGACATCTGTAGCCCTTCCCTTGTCCACTGATGCAGTCATTCACTCCATCATAGAAGGCCACTGGTTTGATCAGGCAGGACTTGCCCTTGGTGAGGTTTTGCTGGCTGTCCCAAATCGCCTTTCTGTTACCCATGGGCCTTAACACAGCTTCTAGGGGGATCTTTTCCATGATCTTTCCAGGSACAGAGGTGAGGCTGACTGKTTTGTAGTTCTTAGGGTGTTCTCTAAGGTTTTTAAAGATGGGTACAATGTTTGCCTTTTTCCCTTCACCTGGGACTTGTGACTGTCATGACTTTTCAAATATYGTGGAGAATGGCTTGGCAACTACGTCATCCAATTCTCTCAGGACTCTGGGGTGCATCTTGTTGGRTCCCTAGTCTGTGTTCTTCAGATAAGGTCTTAACTGGCTGTCTTGGCAAATAACACTCAAGTTAAAATTACCTTGCTTTCTTGGTGACTTGTGTGGTAATTCACCCTAAGTGTTGCAGTAATAAGAAGGCAGTGTCTRTGTTTGATGCTTGCATGGATTGTATGTCCAATCTGTACTCATCAGATTAGTGACTTCAGTTGAAAAATAATWGTGGTCAACAAATGTCTTTATTCAYAAACTTYGCTCTAGAGCCCTTGCAATCYMCTAACCACTTTTAACATGTGGCTTTTTTTGCTGTAGAAACTGCCACAAACTGCAGTCACCTGGGGACTTTGTACATTGTTCCATTTGTGAACATTATTTTATTTTAACAGACAATTTGATTTTTGCCTATTAAGTACGTGCTATGGAGAATGCAGAATATAAGTTGTCCAAAATTCTGTAAATGCTCTTAGTCCACAGTTGTTGGTTTCTCACTAGAACTTAGATTCAAAACTTTTCTCCTTTTGACTTAAATTCATTCTGTTYCTTTTGACAACTGATGAAACACCTAGAAAATGCCAAATCTGTGTAGACAAACTGTTGTTTTTGAGATGTTTTAGGGATAAAAAGGATTCCTGCTGTTACATACTGCTTTGTTTGTCTGAGTGGTTTAATGTCTGCATTAATGATYTTAATAACATTTTGCATTGCAGCTATGAACTGTTTTGTTAGGAAACTGCTGCTTTGCCTGTAGCTCTCAGTGTAAACCTGAGTTAATAAAAATTAATATGCAATCATCACTCTACYGAAGAAGCCTTTCTCTTAAAATACTGCTTAATTAGAAGGACTTAAATATTCCAAGGTATGTGGCTGATGTACATTATATGTTGCTGGATTGAAATGTCTGGAATCAGTACTTGTTGATAAAAGAGGATTTTGTGCAGTATTGAGAGTAACAGAGGCTTTCYTGTGTCTTCGAGAGACTATTAGAAATGCCATTCTCTGGTTCAACAGACCTTTCAGTGGAAGCTGTGTTTGTGGAGCTGTATTTCTGTTGCTTATTCCCCAGCCTCATATTGTCCTGGCACAGTTTCAGCATTCAGGCTTGTAAGAATAAATTAATGTTTGCAGCTTGCTGGAAATWGCTAGGAGTGTGGTTTGGTTCTGTGCTACTGAATGTGCCTTCAATATGTCAAAATGATGAAGCAGGTATTACTTTCTTACTCSTGTTGAGGCAACAAAGCATCGTTTCATTGAAAATCTACTTCYCTGCTTCTGCTTTCACCTCCTGCTTCCAGTTCTTGTGGGAATTTAGCAAAACTAATCCTTCTTGCACTATCAAGTATAAAACATTTGAATATTACTAAGGAATTCCACATGTATTTGAAACAGGCCTAAATGCTATGGAGTTATGCAGAGGCCACTACAAAAGCAAGGGCACTCTAGGGACAGTATTCTTTTCCTCAGTTSTATTTGTAAAAGGCTTTAAAAAGGAAATTAGGATGAACTATTCATGCTTCTCTGTTAGAAGCTCCTATGTTTTCATGCCTTACTGTGCATAAAACAAGATGGAAATCAAACTTTATGCTCTTCCTATTAGAAACGGGTTGGTCTTCAGAAAAAGGAAGTACTGATGTTACAATCAGTTTTCTATGTGGGTAAATGGATAGAAATTCTATTACAGAACTTTCAATTGCTTATGATGCACTAAGAAAAGTTAGTTAAATTTCTTTAAAGAAGAATGCTGGTGCCTCGCATTTTCAAGATAATGGTTCTGGTTTCAGAATTGTGATCTTGGAAAGGCCAGAGCTGCTRAAGCTTGACCTTGCATAGTCTGGCATAGCAGTGTTAACAATTCTTAGAACCACTGTAGGAAGTCATTCTCAGTGTTTASTAAAAGAACTGATCAACTCGTTGGGGAGAGGAGTAACAAATGGATTGCCTTGTACAGTTTTGTCACAGTTGTCTTCATTTACAGCACCAACAAAGTGAACCTAAAATTGAGAATTCARTAATTGTCACCTCTCACCTTGTTTTCTTTTCCTACATGCATGGGGAAGTGAGACTTAGATATATATTTTGCAGGGGTTTTGCAAACTAATTTCTGAGATTTTGTAAATTGTGGATGAGAATTACTGCTTGATAGAATAAAAAAAAAATCAATCCCACTCAAATAAGGAGTTTTTAATATCTTTGTATATTCAAGATCTTTGAATACTTAATAAAAGGATCTTATTTAGCAATTTTTTTAAAAAATGAAGTTGTTAACAACTAGAAGAAAAAAAAATCAGATTTGAAAAGTTCTTTTTTTCATATGATGGTCAGCTGTAGACAGTTTGATATGATAGTAGTTTTGATTTTATGGTTAAAGAAATTTGTAATCAAAGAGCAAGAGCTTTCTGAAATTAAAAATAGAAATGAAATTTAATGAAAAYGAATGTTTTAATTTTTGTAATAGGATTTTGTATGTCCAGTGGCTGACATTTGTGTTGCTGATGGAGCAAAATATGTGGCACAGGGCTTATTAAAATTAGTAAATACCTGCTCTGGGTAGTTTCACCTGACTAGAAAGATGCCCTTCACCTGGAAGAGGAAGGGTATGAACTTCATGGCACTCAAGCTAAACATGATGACTCCAGTATAATGAATTAGTGTTAGAACATACAAAGGATTATTATGATTCAAAATTTTTACAATGTTTGTAAAAATAAGCCTCTCTACATTTAACATAAATCAWGAAATTTGAAGGTTAGGTAAATTCTTCCTTGAAAAGTTTTTTCAAAGTTGGCACTGGATGAAGTTAGTCCATCTTTAGTATTCTGTGAGAAGCCTCTGGGATCTGGATTTCTGGGRAAAAAAATGAAGCTTGATTTGAGTTTGTATTTGAGACCCTTTTCTGAACTACTAATGTGTAGATTTGCATTTTAATCACTTGAAGGAAAACCTTGGCCAATCTG